GTTCAATAATCACCGGTACCACGCCACTTCACTGCCGAAGCTACCTTTATCTAGACATCTGCGCCTGCCAAACAACAGTTTTGAAAATATCAGCGTAACTTTTTTGCAGTCCGGTTTCTCAAACAGACGCGAGCGCGAACAGCGTGAGGCATATTTTATTTTCAAATTTCGAACATTAGTAGCCGGCATCAACGAGGACCCCGGAAAACTCAACTGGCTCCGAGAAGTAAGCCAGGAAGAAATTCGTGACAAAGATTGATAGCTGGGACCATGCTTTTTTCTGACTGACTCGTACGTGTACACTGTCCATTCTTGTTTTTTGTTTTTCTTTTTTTCCTTTTTTTCTTCCATTTTTTCTTTTTTCCACATGAACATACAAAGTGTTTACGTTCGCCTACCTTTTGATGACCATTGAAGGGAAACGGACGAAGATTAAAGGTAAAGAGCCGACTGACCCCTTAAGGGAAATCCTTTCTTTACGCACGCCGCACGCCGACCGACCCATTAGGGGAAACCCTTTCTTTCGCACGCCGTCACGGACCCTCTCGCCACCGCGGTGACAATCTTGGGTGGCCCGACACACGTCGAGAACTGAACAGCACGTGATATGAACCGTATGTGGCCGTAGACGGACAGTTGGCTTCATTCTCAGTGTTGACAGTGGTTCTTCCTCTTTTTTACTTTCTCTCTTTTCTTTCTTATTCTTTTCTTTCTTCCTTTTTTTGTCTTTTTTCTTCCCCCTTTTTTGTTTGTTTTCTTTCGTTTTTTTAGTTCCCTCTCACTCTCGCAGACATCTTTCAAGGCGAGAGGGACGCGGCAGCAACGAAGTTTGGAAGTTCATGTCTGTATAACTCATCCCCTCATGAAGGGAGGACCCCTCCCGAAACTGTTGGGAATTAAATATATTTATCCTTGTTGACAACGCTCCCGTTGTGCCATATCCCATACCTATATATATATATATATATATATATATATATATATATATATATATATATATATATATATATATATATATATATATATATATATATATATGTGTGTGTGTGTGTGTGTGTGTATCTATGTATGTGTGTGTGTATGTATGTAGGTTGGTCTTTGTTTCTCTTTCTGTCTTGCTCTATTTTTTATCTCTCTTTTGTGACTTTGTTTCTCTCTTTCCTTGCTAGAGTCGCTCGTTCCCTGGTCCATCTCACGCCGTACATAAAATCAGAATGTAAGGAAGATAATGAAGAGAGCACGTGCTGGTTCATAATGATCGCATTCTGTCAGCACTACACGGACTAGCAGTAATATGGCCGCCGTCGGACTTCCCCGCCGCTTCACACAGTGACGCAGCCCCCTCCCAATTTTTCTTTCTCCATGTCCATTGTAAAAAAAATTTGGTTCAGTTTACGCGTACTGGCGCGACACCGTCAGTAATTCCGCAGTCAACGAACGCGTATGCGTTAGTGCCCCGATTATAAAGACGTTAATTTTCCACAGGCGGCCTTGAGACGTGCGTACTTCGAAGTCATATGGTACGGAGAGTTGCGCGGTGGGGCCTGGTGAGACAAGGAAATGCAACCTTCATAATAAAAGCGGAGCTGTTTACGCTCTGACTTCCAGCCGTGGATGGCGACCGCGCGCAACATGGCGCAGCTACTTGTGTAAAGCGAAGTGGAAGAACGGCATAGCCATATATAGTATAGAAAGATTGAGAGGGGGGGTTTAAGGTGAGGTGTGTCGCGATGGTGAGAAGACGATGGGGGATGGAGGAGAGAAGAGGACAAAGCATGGAAGTGTTGTTCAGAAGGAAGTGTGGTTCAGAAGGAAAGAAAGGAGGACGGAGGGTGCCACCTTGCTTAGCAGAGGCGAATGGAGGAGGATGGCGAGTTCGATGTTGCAGTTATTCAGGGGGTCAAACGAAGAGGAGAAGGGGGTGAGCGGAAATGGGAAGCAGCCACGCAGGCGGTAGGGCATGGGTGAATACAACGTGTAGTCGCGCCGAGCGCCGGTAGATTGACGTTAGTGATGAGGTTGTAGCTTCGCGTTACTCTTGCACTCAATCCCTGAGGCTTCCGCTAAGCTTCGCTTTCCATCGCGTATTTTTTTTTGCGGCCTTTCTTTCATACCTGACATACCAGCAACCACGAAGATCCTGACATTCAGTACCCCACCTCAGCACCGCAGGAGCCCAGAATGGAGCGTTCCAACCGTGGCGCTAAGTCGCAGCAGCTGCAGCGCCTGTGACTGCAATCGAGTGCAGCGGCGTCGGCAATGGCACTCGAAATGGAGGGTTCAACTACCAGCGTCATCAGAGATCCGCAGCTCACGGCCGGTGACAGGACGTCATCGTCGCCACAATCAAGCACTGCGTGGTGTTTTGCGTCGCCGTCGGGCTCGTGTTGGCCGTGAGCGGCGCCATTCTCCTGTCCAGTGGGCAGCCATACCAGCAGCTCGAGCTTCGAATCATCTCGGCGTGCATGATCGCCTCATATGTCGTCCTGCTTGCAGCCGCCGTTGTGTTTATTTTATCATGGCGCAATCGCCACCAGTCCGGATCCGTCTACCAGGCGTGCGAGAACGCTGCCGCGGCCCCACCGCCAGCCTACGAGGATGCTGCCGCTGCCCCACCACCGTCCTACGAGAGCGTGATGAGGCTCGATCATCTCGAGAAGGATGCTGAAGGGGCTGGCTCATCAGATGGCCCACACCACCCGCAGGGATTCGGCGCCAGGCACCGCTGACACATGGCAGTAACGTGCGCGAACGAGTCACTCGCCATTTCCCACGGCCCTCCCGAAACTGCCGAGACCAAGGCGGAATGATGCATGCGCGTGTTATCGCACTGAGTATCAACGCGTGCTTTGTGACCAAAGCTAGCAGAATAAACAAGCACACGGCGCTTTTCCTGTTACTGACACCTACTTGAGTGAGGTGTGATGCACCCATGTACAAATGCGGCGAAACCGCAATAAATAAAATTTTTAAAAATAAGCAGGTTTTCGGACGTTTGCAGCTGAGCAAGGTAACCATTGGGCCATTGACGCATTACACATCTTCGATAAAACATGGCACAGCCGTTGCTATAGCTGTCATACCTATAGCAGTGGCATATAGCCAGATATCTGTTTCGGTATGAGTCACGTCCTTGGTCCGAAATGGGGACCGGCGTCGTCTTTTTGTATTGTCAGTATACCAAGGCCGAAAGGAATTTCGGCAGGGGCACGAGCCCAGTGTGCCACCCCCTGGCTGTGCCTCTGACTTCTAAGGACAGGCACAGTTGAATAGAAAAGTCCACAAGGATGCAGTTGACAATGTGACAGCTAACTCTGAATGCCTTCTTCTCTCCTTGTTCTAGTCTCGTATCGCAGCTGTTTGCGTTAGCTTATGCAATATTCTTGCAATACCATCACTTTTTCGCCCATTCACCACTGTCTCAAAAAGGAAAGAGCCAAACAACAGGATAAGCACCATATTAGCGGAACAGTGTGGTTCTCTGTAAGGCTAGATTAACAAAAGATGCATTGCTGTACTAAGTTTTACACGATGCCACGCTAGGATGTGGGTTCGCGTAGCGCCACACGCGAATACGACATAATTTAAAACTCCCGCTAATGGAATGCTTCAAAGGCAAGGTATAATACATGCACCTTACGCCTGCACGACTAATACCTGCTTTTTTAATTGCACTGTCTTGCATAGTCTTTAAAAGGTCTTATGTGGTGTAAAACATACATCGTTTCTGTCCCAATACACTTGTAATAAAATTTGGCACGTTGAATTTCGTATTCAAAGACTGCGACCACGTGAGGTGATTGCACTGCTACACGCGTTGTTGCTTCGGCCGACAAGAGGAAAAGCACAGCCTGTAAACGATGTCACATTCACGCTTAATTAGTAACGCCACAGTGAGGGTTTGATGCTCTGTACCTTAACACATTGAAGTATTGAAGAGGAAACTTGGGATAGGCAAAAGTCGGATGTATGCACTAAGGGACAAAGAAGGCAAAAGAACTACCAATATGGATAGGGTAGTTAAAATAGCGGAGGAGTTTTACAGAGATCTGTACAGTAGCCGAGACAACCACGACCTTAATACTATAAGAACTAGCAGTAACCCAGATGACACCCCACCAGTAATGATAGAAGAAGTCAGAAAAACTTTGTAGAGCATGCAAAGAGGCAAAGCTGCTGGTGAGGATCAGGTAACATCAGATCTGCTGAAAGATGGAGGACAGATTGTGTTAGAAAAACTAGCCACCCAGTTCACGAGATGTCTCTTGACGGGAAGAGTACCAGAGCCTTGGAAGAACGCTAACATCATCTTAATACATAAGAAAGGAGATGACAAGGACTTGAAGAATTACAGGCCGATCAGCTTGCTCTCTGTAGTATACAAGCTATTTACAGAGGTAATTGCTAACAGAGTAAAGAAAACATTAGAATTCAATCAACCAATGGAACAAGCAGGATTTCGAACAGGCTACTCACAATTGACCACATTAGCATAGCCATATATAGTATAAAGAGATTGAAAGGGGGAGTTCATGGTGCGGTGTGTCGCAGTGGTGAGAAGACGATGGGGAAAGGAGAAGAGAAGAGGACAAAGCGTGGAAGTGTTGTTCAGAAGGAAGTGTGGTTCAGAAGGAAGGAAATGAGGATGGAGGGTGCCGCATCGCTTAGCAGGGGCGAAAGGAGGAGGATGGCGAGTTCGATGTTGCAGTTATTCAGGGGGTCAAACGTAGAGGAGAAGGTGGTGAGCGGAAACGGGGAGCCGCCACGCAGGTGGTTGGGCATGGGTGAATACAACGTGTGGTCGCGCCAAACGCAGGGAGATTGATGTTAGTGATGAGGTTGTAGCTTCGCGTTACTCTTGCACTCAATCGCTGAGCCTTCCACTAAGCTTCGATTTCCATCGTGTATTTTTTCTTTGCGCCCTTTCTTTCTTACCTGACATACCAGCAACCATGATGAGCCTTACATTCAGTACCCCACCTACGAACCGCAGGAGCCCAGAATGGAGTGTTTCCACCGTGGCGCTATGTCGCAGCAGCTGCAGCACCTGTGACTACCATCGAGTGCAGCGGCTTCGGCAGTGGCACTCGAAATGGAGGGTTCAACTATCAGCGTCATCAGAGATCCGCAGCCCGCGGCCGGTGACAGGACGTCATCGTTACCACCAATCGTGCACTGCGTGGCGTTTTGCGTCGCCTTCGGGCTCGTGTTCGCCGTGAGCGGCGCCATTCTCCTGTCCAGTGGGCTGCCATACCGGCGGCTCCAGCTTCGAATCATCTCGGCGTGCATGCTTACCTTAGGTGTCGTGCTGCTTGCAGTCGCCGTTGTGCTTATTTTCTCATGGCGCCATCGCCACCAGTCCGGATCCGTCTACTTGGGTTGCGAGGATGCTGCCGCTGCCCCACCGCCAGCCTACGAGGACGTGGTGCTGCCACCACCGTCCTACGAGAGCGTGATGATGCTCGATCATCTCGGGAAGAATGCTGAAGGGGCTGGCTCATCAGATGGCCCACACCACCCACAGGGATTCGGCGCCAGGCACCGCTGACACTTGGCAGTAACGTGCGCGAACTAGTCACTCGCTATTTCCCACGGCCCGCCCGAAACTGCCGAGACCAAGGCTTCCGGAATGATGCATGGCGTGTTATCGCACTAAGCTTTACCGCGTGCTTTTTGATCAAAGCTAGCAGAATAAACAAGCACACGGCGCTTTTCCTGCTACTGACAGCTACTTGAGTGAGGTGTCATGCATCCCTGTACAAGTGCGGCGAAACCGCGATAAATAAATTTTTAAAAATTAAGCAGGTTTTCGGACGTTTGCAGCTGAGCAAGGTAGCCATTGGGTCATTGACGCATTACACATTTTTGATAAAGCATGGCCAAGCCGTTGCTATAGCTGTCATATTTATAGCAGTGGCGTATAGCCAGAAATCTGTTTCGGTGGGTTCACGTCCTTGATCTGAAAGGGGGACCGGCGTCGTCTTTTGGTATAGTCAGTATACCAAGGCCGAAAGGAATTTCGGCAAGGGCACGAGCCCAGTGTGCCACCCCCTGGCTGTGCCTCTGACTTCTAAGGACAGGCACAGTTGAATAGAGAAGTACAAAAGGGTGCTGTAGACAATGTGGCAGCTGACTCTGAATGCCTTCTCTCCTTTTTCTAGTCTCGTGTCGCAGCTGTTTGCGTTAGTTTGCAAAATTCTTGTAATAACATTACGTTTTGGCCCATTAACCACTGTTTCAAAAAGGAAAAGCCAAACAATAGGATAAGCACCAAATTAGTGAAACAGTGTGGTTCTCTGTAAGGCTAGATTAACAAATGATACATTGCTGTACTAAATTTTACACCATACCACGCTAGGATGTGGCTTCGCGCAGCGCCACACGCGAATACGACATAATTTAAAACTCCCGCTAATGGAAGGCTTTAAAGGCGAGGTATAATACATGCACCTTACGCCTACACGAGTAATACCTGCCTTTTTAATTGCACTGTTTTGCATAGTCTTTAAAAGGTCTTATGTGCTCTAAGAAAACATACATCGTTTCTGTTTCAATACACTTGTAATAAAAATTTCGCACATTGAATTTCGTATTCAAAGACTGCGACCACGAGAAGTAATTGCACTGCTGCACACGTTGTTGCTTCGCCCGACAAGAGGAAAAGCACAGCCTGTAAACGATGTCGCATTCGCGCTTGATTAGCAACGTCACAGTGAGGGTTCGATGCTGTATACCTCAACACACCCGGCATGCGAGATTGCTCGACTGAAAAGTCAGCGTCTATCTGAAAATTCGCAAAATTCATAGACTGTCGCGCAGCCTAGCGAAACTCGGGAGCATCCTCTCAAGGATTTTCAGTAGTCAGACGCCTCTTGCTCAGCTTTGCTAGCATCAGTGTTAATGCATTTGCAAGAAACGAACACAAACCAGTTTGTACGTTTCGTGCATCACTGATCATACCGGATCATTAATGACGCAATAACCTGAATAGTTTTTGAGAAACGGTTTCCTCGAAAATACGTGGCAACTCGCACGTTCGAATATAGCCTGCAGAGTACACATATGAGCTTCGCGAGATTTTCTGAAGCCACGTTGGATAGTTAAATGTTATCGTCTGACCTTTGCAGTTCAAACTCAACTTGTTTTACGTGCGTATAGCATTCGTCAGTGCTTTTGTAGTGCATGAGTCCCACAATATTCATTCTACGCGGAAAACAGCGCAGCCTCGCGATTTGCTCTTCCAAACCTTGGCCAACGTTGCCCCGCTTGACTTTCACGTTCGTTCATAGATGGCAGCACACTGCAAGAGATTCGCTTCTTGCGAAGTGTCGGTGAATTGTTTTTGTGCGCCAGTTAAACATTGTGAGTGACGTGTTGTTGGCGTTATCGAAGCCGTTCGGTGGAGGGAATTTCTTAGATTACTTTCAGCAGTGGTGTTTAAAGAAATGGTCTTGACGTCGAGGATTTTTCACTGGACGTAGAACGCACCGATAGTGACAGTGGCGATGAACTATCAGCTGCTAACTCACGGGCAGCGAGTTGCACTTCAAGTACTTTCATGTGTTAATGTTCATTTTTGCACTCATAAGTCACTTTCATTGTATTTATTGAATAATTTTCTTCAGTGAGCTCCAAACAAAAGCATAGTTTTAGGGGCGATGCTCGCCCCGCCGCGGTGGTCTAGTGGCTAAGGTACTCGGCTACTGACCCGCAGGGCCCCGCCACGGTGGTCTAGTGGCTAAGGTACTCGGCTGCTGACCCGCAGGTTGCGGGATGAAATCCCGGCTGTGGCGGCTGCATTTCCGATGGAGGCGGAAATGTTGTAGGCCCGTGTCCTCAGATTTGAGTGCACGTTAAAGAACCCCAGGTGGTCAAAATTTCCGGAGCCCTCCACTACGGCGTCTCTCATAATCATATGGTGGTTTTGGGACGTTAAACCCCACAAATCATTCATCATCATCATACTGACCCGCAGGTCGCGGGTTCGAATCCCGGCTTCGAAGGCTGCATTTCCGATGGAGGCGGAAATGTTGTAGGCCCGTGTGCTCAGATTTGGGTGCACGTTAAAGAACCCCAGGTGATCGAAATTTCCGGAGCCCTCCACTATGGCGTCTCTCATATTCATATGGTGGTTTTGGGACCTTAAACCCCACAAATCAATCAATCAGGGGCGAAGCTCCTCAAGGTGTGGGTCGGTCGTCACCTGTATGTACACATGTATGAAGTAACCACCTCACAGCATACCAATGTAGTGAATGATGATGAGTGTGGCGAAGCTTCGGAGGGTTTTATCGGCAAAGCGTGAATCATCCACTGGCCCGTTTCGTCCATTGTGTGTCTGTCTGTCTGACGCATGGTTGGGCGCAGGAAGGCCGCATGGACGGAAGCACAGACGCACGCATGGACACATGGAAAGACACACGGGCGGACGGACGGCCGGACAGACCGACGCGCGGACGGATGCACGGACGGACAGAATCAAGAACGAACTGACGGATGGAAGCGCTGTTATGCCAGCGAGTCCTCGTCAAACGTCCGTGCCTCTGAAAAAGGCAATCTGGGTCAAGGCCAGCCCGCAGTCCGCCTGGCGCGATCAACTCGACGGCGTGAACACGCGCGGCGCCCCTCTGGCCCACGTGCATTGAGTCAGCTGCGCACGTGACAGCGAGCCGGCGTCCTCGTGTCTGGTGGTCTGACGCATGGCGCGGCGACCCCATTGGAGGAATCTGCCCGGACGACCAGCGGCGCTTCTGATTGGACATTTTGGTTGGACCCGGTGTAAATAAAAGAAGCCCTGCGGCGCGTCGCGATCGGCGGTCCTACGAGAGAGGAGTCCCCATGTCGGAGAGCCGACATGTGTGTGAGTCGGCGGTCTTAGGCGAAAAGTTGACCTATGTATTAGAGAGGAGAGCTTGGCTCTTCGAGTCTCTGTCGGCCCCAGTGCCGAATTTGTAATGCCTCTGTGTATATGCTGTACATAAACCTTGTTTAACTCACCGTCGTCTCGTCCGCTCGTCTTATCAGCTCTGCGCAGAGGCAGTCGCGAGCTGATAAACATACGCTACCAAACGGCTGGTGACCTTCCCGGCGGAGTTGGAAGCAGTGGCGCCTACAGGACCGTGTTGGCGTCGCCGTCTTGCGCAACAGTGGTGGCTTCGGTGGGATCGGTCCGTCGTTCGCAACAGTGGTTGGCAGCTGCGGGATCGGCCGGCGTCAGCGACATCGATGCGGTGAGTGCCTGATGTTTTCCCCTCAGTTCACCAGACTACTCTAGCTCAGGTTGTAGTAGTTTAGAGAAGGGCTGTGTGAAGCATTGAAGTGAGCTTTGATCGTTTCAAGCCAAGTCGAAGCGCTTTGAAACCAAAGTTAATGCAGAGGGGTTAAACACGGGAGTGTGAAAAAATTGCTTGCGCGTCTTGCTAGTAGGCTTATAGTGGGTACGGCAAGTAGATTCTTAACAGGGGCAAACAGCAAGAGGCTAGTGTGAACGATGGAGAACCTTAAAGTGAAGGAACTCATCGAAATTTGTGAGGAACTCGGCATTACTTTGGGCCGTGCGAAACGAAAGCAAGCGATCCTTGAGATCATGAAGGATGAGGGAGTGTCGGCTGAGGAAGTCGATGAGGCCTGGGCGGATATCAAAGCACGCCGCGAGGAGGCCGAAATGCGAGAAGTTCGTGAACGTGAGGTAGCCGAGAGACAGGAGCGCCTCGAGTTGAAACGAATAGAATTGGCAATTCTACAGTGTTCGCAGGCGCCTAGCGTAGCTTCTCCGACGATTCAGGTCAGCGGTTTTAGAATTCGGGACCAACTGCCACCGTTCGTAGTAGGCGAGGACATGGCGAAGTATCTCGTCAAGTTTGAACACGTCTGTGAGCGAAATGCTTTGGAGCGGTCTCTTTGGGCGCGGAACCTGCTAGCTCTTCTTCCCGGCGAAGTGTCCGACGCGATAACTTGCTTGTCGAGGGAAGCGTTTGAGAGCTATGACGAGGTTAAAGAAGTGCTCTTGAGACGTTATAAGTTGTCACCCGAGGCTTTCAGGCAAAGGTTCCGGTATGCTGAAAAGGGGAATGAGTCACACGTTGACTTCGCGTTTCGTCTTAAAGCCGATTTGATTGAATGGCTCAAGGGCGAAGGTGTTTATGACGACCGCGATAAAGTGGTGGAATGCGTTGCATTGGAGCAATTCTACCGCTGCATCGAGGAGGATGTCAAACTTTGGCTGCAGGACAGACTTGGGGACGTACAGTTAAACAAGGCAGCTGAGTTAGCTGAGGAGTATTATACTCGCCGAAAGTTGCATAGCAGGGCAGCGCGCGTTGAAAAGGATGAAAGGAAAGAGGGCTTTTCAAGGAAACCTGATCAACGGAAACTCGCTCCGCACCGTAATTTCAAGAAGGACCCGTCTCTTACGAAGGACAGTGTTGGGGAAGGGCAAACAGAAGCGGAGAAATCGAGTGAGGTTTCTACCACACAGGCATTAGAACCGGAAAACAAACGGAAGCCGCTAATCTGCTACAACTGCAAAAAGGAAGGGCACATCGCGAG